CTCCAGCCTGGGTAACAACAGTGAAACTCCGTCTCAAAAAAAAGAGTATTTGCATAGAACACATAAGGAATTTGGAATATATTTTTGTTCTAAATAACGAAACTTTGCTAAGTAGAAAACCTAAGTGGAAGATAATAGGTAACAAATTAATACATCCTAAACATGGGTACCCACAGGGCTATCAGACAACAGGTAAGGTCACAGAATAAGCATAACATCTTCCCAAGTACCAATTCTACTCAAGACATGAATGGGAACACTACACACTTGAGGAAGATTGTTTTGTACTATAGTGCCAGGCCCCTTGGGATTTGTTCCTCTATGTACTTTATGGAAAAGTTTGAGAAGCAGAGCCATAAATGAACATAAGGCATATTCAATTAAAGTACCTAATTAATGTTTACTATGGCTTGGTTTTAAGATAGTAAAATATGACTATCATAAAAATGAAAATAGAGCTGTTAGTCGAATTCATTCTATTCTAGCAAGCTTTAATGCTTAAAACGTTGATTTCAATTACCAACTATTGTAAACAATGTCATTATTACTTGAACAAGGAGAATTACTTGATAGCATGGATCATTTTACAGTGCAGCATTTCATATCTGGTTCGACAATAAAATTGTATTGCTTATTAAAAAAGCAACAATATTATCTTTCACCCTATGTATGGTTTAAGAGCTAATAATGTGTTATTGGCTACACTTTTTTTTTGAGACAGAGTTTCGCTCTTGTCACCCAGGCTGGAGTGCAATGGTGTGATCTCGGCTCACCGCAACCTCCGCCTCCTGGGTTCAGGCAATTCTCCTGCCTCAGCCTCTCGAGTAGCTGGGATTACAGGCACGCGCCACCATGCCCAGCTAATTTTTTGTATTTTTAGTAGAGACGGGGTTTCACCATGTTGACCAGGATGGTCTCAATCTGTTGACCTCGTGATCCACCCGCCTCGGCCTCCCAAAGTGCTGGGATTATAGGCTTGAGCCACCGCGCCCGGACTATTGGCTACACTTTAAAGATTTCATCCATTCGAAACTCAGTACTTTCATAGAAGGCACCATCAGAAGCTTACACAGTATCATCAGACATCTGTGATTTACAGTGAAGTTAATTTTTTTTTAATTTTTAAAGCACATTTCCTCATTAGAAACTAAAATATACACAGGCAGTAAAATAAACCTAATGAGCATTTCTGATACATAACACCTGACAGGAAGTGAATGAATTAGCTTTGACCACTGGTGACTGAAGAATGACTTAACAGTGTACATTTAATGACATTAAAAATGACATTTAAATATATGGGATGATAGAAAATTAAACTGTTCATAAGGAGCTCTCCAGTGTGCTTTTTCCTGACCACTTATTTCTAGTATTCAGTCATGGAATCGACGATCTGTCTACAAACTTGGCGGGGAGGAGGAAACGTGATAAACAGGTTCCCCCTTAAATTTACCTTTACAGAATCAAAGCAAACACAAAATCTGTTTGTGATTTCTATTACAGAAATTTTCTTCACAAAATGAAAGCATCATGAAGATAAAGGGAGAAATGACATGAAAGCAAATAAATGCCACATACATTTGGTAACTATCTGTATCTTATCCTTAACACTTGGCAAGTACTTTAATAAAAATCACTGAGTTTACAACTTTCTTGGATCATCTTGGATCATTTAGAGGTATAAAAATCTTTTGGAGCTGAAACTGCAAAGGATTTGAAAGTATATCAATTCTTGGGAAATCTTTTCATATAGGAAATATATGATGGTAGTGAGAATAAAATGGACTATGAAAACGGAAACTCCATTTTGGAAAGGCATAATAACACCTCGGTGTTAAAGATGCAGTCTCTACAAATGACATAAAAAAAGCAGAATGAACCCTTCCTAAACTTTGTTCCTTACTAAACTTTTGATGTCTTTGCAACAGACAGATATGTGTTTAATACAAGTGATGCAAGACGTCAATACACTTCTACACTCCCTCAATATTTTAACATCTCTGTGCCAGGCAGTAAATCCTTAGGGAACACTTGTTCACATTAGCTCATTCATCCTCACAGGTGTTAATTTAAGCCAATGCACTTAATGAAGCGTGGCAAAAGCAGCTGTTTAAAATAACGAGATGTTATTTTCAGGATAGGTAAGTTTATTACACCATTAATAAAAATTAGGGTTCGTAGATGGTGGAGAGATAAATGAGGCTAAAAGGTAAGATTTTTTTTTGCAGAGAAGGTGAAGACAAGCTTTTTGTTGTTATTTAAATACCAAGTAGTGATATCAAACTAACCTTATAAAATATATACACTATCTCTCCACCTTTAAAGCACCCCTTGGGTTTAATGAGATAACTAAAGCACTGAAAAGAGATCTTTAAAAAAAGGATTACAGGACAGCTACCTACTTTTGATATGATTCTCTACTAGTAAACATTTCCCAGCCATGCTCTGTTTTCAAAGCTCAAGTCATACCCCCAAATTTTGATTTCTTCCCCTCAAAATACTTCTAACACCTGAACACTCAGATAAAAATGTTTATATAATATATTCACATATATAACTGCAAAGTATGAACTTAAAGTTCTAAGAAAGATCCAATGCCCAGTACTTACTGATTAAATGTTGATGAAGACAGGGCAATAGTATTTTGGCTCCACCATTAGCTCAACTGCAATCAATAAAGAGATTCACGCAGAATATGTGGGTGCTAAATCAGTCCCAAAAAGCATATTTGGGGTGAGTCTATCAACTAAAATAGTAAGAAAAAAAATTAACTTGTTTGGTGGCATACAGAAGCACCTAGTATTGGTAGTTAAAACGAGACAAAAATCACCACAAATCATGAAATGTATTCTTCACACCTACAACACAATGGTTTTTTCCAGACAGAATGAGACTGGCCTTTGTGCTTTGTGTATGGAAGAAAAAAACTATCCCCACACCAAATTGGATTCTCTCAGCAAGACAACTTTTGTATGTTAAGAAATGTAGTTTTAACCTTTTTTTCTATAAATCTTAACAAGATTTGTAAATCCTAACCAAATACATGAAATCTTGTCTCTACGACAACATAAGAGCAAAGAGATAAGATTTTGTTGTATCGTCATAGTCATTCGTTAAATGTAAAAAGTGATAGTAAATTACCTAATCTGTTAAAATACAATAATCCTCAAAAAGTTACTTGAAATACAAATTTAAAACCAGCCTAAAAAAAATTTGAAGTAATGAAAAAATATGAAAACCCTTACGAAATACCAGTAAGAATGCCTGTAAAACAAACAAAAAAGCAACAACAAAAAAAGAAAACCTTTAACTGAAAAAGAAAAACGGATTTTGTAAAACTTTCAACATAGAGGAAGAATATTTTTGTATTTGGACTGGAGCTTAAAAGCCACAAATGGTTTTCTCCCACGAGTTAAAAACACAGGTTTAACTAATTTAAAATATTCCAAATGGCACAACTTTAAGCTCAAGATATGTCAATATTAAAAAATTCTACAAAATATGCATTTTGTAGGACGTCCCAACAAGCAGCCTCGCCTGTCAAAAAGAAGGCACACAAACAAAAATCAAATCCATGTACATTAAAAAGAGGTACACAAAAATGAATCAAGTTGCGAAAAAAGCTACTACGCAAATTCAATGAGAGAAAGGGAGGAGGTCCTGACTCATACTGTATACGATTATCCTTTTTCTTATCTACGCCGAATATTTTTATATAAAAACATATGCTCTATCATTCAACTGCACAGAAGGGCACTTGGCCACTTCTACTCTCAAATCTACTCTGGAGATTGTGGTAAAACACTTAACATACCTCCCTGAAGAAATTCTCAAAGCGAAGTCCATTTTAGACGACAAAGCGGATTTAACAATTTTAAGAACTTTCTGGGATCTCGGCACAATAAGCCAATTACTCTTTACAGACGCATTTTCCGCGCTCCACCAGGACTTTATCCCCGCGCCCCAGCCCACATGAGACTCGGACTGACAGAGGCGATTCGGCCAGCTATCCCGATTCTCTTTGCCTGGGCCATGAATCACCGAGCAAGGCAGAATCCCCGCAAAATTACAGAAGAATCTAAAGCGCAAACGAGGTAAAAGAACAACAACAAAAAAGCAAAGCGGGGGAAGTTGGGTCGAGACCCGCCCCCACTCTCTCAACCCCACCCAAGCCTACCTCTCCTACGCTGCACCACACAACAAAACCGAAAAACGTAATAAAAATAAAAATTAAAAAAGGCACACCACGAGAAAGCAACTAGGGCTTCCTTACTGTCCCCACTCCCTGTGGCCCAGTTCTCTACCCAACCTCCCAGCCCACCCCATCCCCCCCAGGGGTCCCGGCGCCATTTAGCTTCTCCGAAGCCGCCGCCATTTTCCGCCCCCGTCGGATAGCTGCTGTGCCTCTGTGGCCGCTCGCTTCCCTACTCTGCAGCCTGAGCCACGAGCTCCGCCCGGCCCTGAGAGGGAGGCACTGGCCGGAACGTGCGGGGACGGCAGCTGCAACGTCAGGAAGGCCAGGCTCCGACCCCGCCCGCGGTGCCAGGGCGCCGGCAGCTTGCGCCAGCCGGCGGGAGCTAGCGGGCAGAAAGGGGGCCGGACAGGCTCCACTGGGCGGAGCGGCCCTGGCGGCGGTTGGGACCTGAGGGTTCCATCGCACTTACTTCCTGTTTTGGGTCCGGGCACTTTGGAAGAACCAGGATGGAGGCTCCAAAAAATACCAGGATGGAGGAAGCAGCCACGGGCGAGAGTGGCTGCAGCTGGAGTGAGCGAGCGCAACGAGCCACCGGAAACGGAGCTGCGGCCCCGCCCCGCCCCCAGCTCGCCGCACTCTGCCCCTCCCGTTCGTGTGTCCCGCGGGTGGCCCCGCGCGCTGGCTGAAGGCGTCACTTCCGGCTGTGTCGGCGCGCGAAAAAAGGTCTTGCAAGGTTTGGAACTTCGGTCGTCAGTGGGGATGTCTGCTGTCCTTCTCTCTTTCTGCTAGAAAATCTGCACTGACTATACCACTGCTGATGCTGTAAAAGGTCCTTCTGCTTTGACGCAACTGTCGTTCCTCTGGTTCTGGGGACACTTAGGCCCCGCGGGCCGATTTTCATAGTTCCCTGTGGCTCCGAGCCGAGGGAGCCGCAGTGTGGAACGGAAGGAACCGGTGATCTCAGTGCTGAAAACAGGGAGAGTGTGTTTTCGTACCTGATTTGTCTTGCCGCAGGGGCTTAAAATGAGTCTGGGTGTGTGAAGAAGCAGTTCTTGATGAAATGTGTCCTCTGTGAGTGTGATCTCACTGTTATACTGGGAAGATGCTATTCTCTTGTGCCCAGTTCTTCTTAAAAGTACAGATGCTCCTTAGGTTGCAGCTGCATAAACGCATCCTAAATCGAAAATGCGTTTTAATACCCTTATTAGCGAAAAGGATGAATAAGCTTTTGGATTCAGCAATGTGAGTCAGCATTTTTTTGAGTGCTTATGTGTCATGTGAGTGTTTTACGTGTATTAAACTCATTTGGTCTTCATAAGGGCATCGCTACAGTTACTACGAATGAATCCCATTTTACACAGAAACCAAAGAGAAGTTAAGGAATGTGTCCAAGGACTCCCAAGTCGGAGGTGGAATCAGCAATGAAGCCTGAGCTCTAGAGGCTGTATTCTGAACTACCCTTTTGCAGCTCACAAAATACACTTTCGTTACTTTCATATGAAAACAAATGATTACAGCCAGTTTACAAATGCTTTACTTTACTGGAGGATTGAGATGTTTGGCCAGTTTTCAAAAATAAATGTCAGAAGCAGCATTTTCTTATGTTGATAATTGTATTACTAATTCGTGGCACTCTGCATTCTATTGGAGTTAAGCTGTATATCATTCCATTTTTTAATAAGTACATAATAATGTTTATGTAAGCCAAACTATGAGACAGGATAGTATTGTGGTATGGTCTCAGGCAGTCAAACCCGAATGTGAATATTGGCTCCATTTCTTAGTAGTCATTATGGCACTTCACCTCTTTTAGCTTCATTTACTTTAGAAAAGTAGGAGTAATAAGATCTACCTCCCAGAATATTGTTGACAACATATTTTACATAGAACCTGGCATGTATTAAGCATTAAAAATGGAAACTAATGAACTCTAAAGCCAGAGGAGCAATACAACTACTGAAAGAGCAGTTATAATAAAATAATAATTATGAAAATTGTTGACATTAACATTGGTAAGAAGGTGATTCCTAATTAGCCACATTTTTCATAAAACATTACCATATAGGATTCTTTTCATTAAGGCACAAATGATATATAAATTATGGTCGGGCTGTGCATTCTCTTCTGCAAAATTTTAGGTCAGACTTCATGCTGCTGCTAATTCCCTAAAAAAAGTCAAGTGCATCCTTATAACTAAATTCTCTCTTTCTGGTTGAGTTTCTTTTATAACTACCTTTTTCCAAATCAGCTGGTATTTATTTGGGGATGACAAGTGTATTTTAATATTAGCTTAATACATAACCTAAAAAATTTGTTAATCATAGTAACGTCTCTCTCGCTTTAACCTGAATAGTCAATGTAAAGGATATCCTTAATACAACTTGATTCCTAGAGCAATTTTCTGCAGTTATACTTCTAGGTTATCTGTACCTCACTACTTAAGTCAGTGTGTACTTAGGGAATGCATGAAGTTTTAAATGTTTTGTAGAAAAATCATGAGAAGTATTTCTATCCTAAACAATGATTATGGAAGTATTTACAGCATAGCTTGGTATTTACTGCATTTGCTAGTTATAATTGACTTTGTTTGACTCCAGAGGTTTTATAACACTTTCATGAACTTCATCACTGATTGAATGGTGATGAAATTGCCTTTTTTAATGGCAGGTTGATATATTAATATGAAATATTTCAAATACTAAGAAGCAGTTTCTGTTGTTTCATGATTATCATGCTAATTTATATAAAAAAAAGATGTTTATAAGCTTTTGTTTAAAGTAAAAGAAAAATACAGGGGGGAGCTTGAGCCGAGCCCGGAGCCAGACCTGAACCCCTGAACCTCCGGCCAAGGGTGCCCCGGGAGCAGCCAGTCCGTGGGCGCATTGGGCGCACCGCCCGCCTGCCGAGCAGGCATGAGTGAGACGGTCATCTGTTCCAGCCGGGCCACTGTGATGGTTTATGATGACGGCAACAAGCGATGGGTCCCTGCTCGCATGGGTCCTCAGGCCTTCAGCCACGTCCAGATCTACCACAACCCCACAGCCAATTCCTTCTGCGTGGTGGGTCGGAAGATGCAGCCTGACCAGCAGGTGGTCATCAACTGTGCCATCGTCCAGGGCGTCAAGTATAATCAAGCCACCCCTAATTTCCATCAGTGGCGCGATGCCCGCCGGGTCTGGGGCCTCAACTTCAGCAGCAAGGAGGATGCCGCCCAGTTTGCTGCGGGCATGGCCAGTGCCCTAGAGGCGTTGGAAGGAGGTGGGTCCCCTCCACCGCCAGCACCTCCTGCCTGGTCGGTCCTCAAGGGCCCCTCCCCGGAGGAGGTGGAGCAGCAGAAAAGGCCCCAGCCCGGCCCGACAGAGCATGTAGAGCGCCGTGTCTCCAATGCAGGAGGCCCACCTGCTCCCCCTGCTGGGGGTCCACACCCACCACCAGGACCTCCCCCTCCTCCAGGTCCTCCCCTACCCCCAGGTTTGCCTCCCTCGGGGGTCCCAGCTGCAGCACACGGAGCTGGGGGAGGACCACCCCCTGCACCCCCTCTCCCAGCAGCACAGGGCCCCAGTGGTGGGGGGACTGGGGCCCCAGGCCTGGCTGCAGCTATTGCTGGAGCCAAACTCAGGAAAGTCAGCAAGCAGGAGGAATCCTCAGCAGGGCCCGTAGCCCCCAAAGCTGAGAGCGGTCGAAGCGGAGGTGGGGGACTCATGGAAGAGATGAACGCCATGCTGGCCCGGAGAAGGAAAGCCACACAGGTTGGGGAGAAAACTCCCAAGGATGAATCTGCCAATCAGGAGGAGCCAGAGGCCAGAGTCCTAGCCCAGAGTGAATCTGTTTGGAGACCCTGGGAGAAGAACAGCACAACCTTGCCAAGGATGAAGTTGTCTTCTTCGGTCACCACTTCTGAGACCCACCCCTACACGCCCAGCTCCGGCGATGACTCGGACCTAGAGAGGGTGAAACAGGAGCTTCTGGAAGAGGTGAAGAAGGAATTGCAGAAAGTGAAAGAGGAAATCATTGAAGCCTTTGTCCAGGAGCTGAGGAAGCGGGGTTCTCCCTGACCACAGGGACCCAGAAGACCCGCATCTCCTTTCCACACGCCCCACCTGTCACCCTGCTTTCCCTGCCTCTACTTGACTTGGAATTGGCTGAAGACTACACAGGAATGCATTGTTCCCACTCCCCATCCCACTTGGAAACCTCCAAGGGGGTGTGGCTTCCCTGGCGCCCTGCCCTCACCCACACTGGCTGCTGATTGGCTGGGGAGGTCCCCACCCTTTTCTCCCTTTGGTCCTTCCCCTCTGCCATCCCCTTGGGGCCGGTCCCTCTGCTGGGGATGCACCAATGAACCCCACAGGAAGGGGGAAGGAAGGAGGGAATTTCACATTCCCTTGTTCTAGATTCACTTTAACCCTTAATGCCTTCAAAGTTTTGTTTTTTTAAGAAAAAAAAAAAAAAAATATATATATATATATATATTTGGGTTTTGGGGGAAAAGGGAAATTTTTTTTTCCTCTTTGGTTTTGATAAAATGGGGTGTGGGAGTTTTAAAATGCTATAGCCCCGGCCTTGCCCCATTTGGGGCAGCTATTTAAGGGGAGGGGATGTCTCACCAGGCTGGGGGTGCCTCACCCCACCCCAGGGACTCCTCTTCCCTCTGGCTCCTCCCCCTTTTCTATGAGGAATTAAGATGCTGTAACTTTTTGGAACCCCAGTTTTTTGATTTTTAATTTGGGTAGGTTTTGGGGTCCAGGCCATTTTTTTACCCCTCAGAGAAAATAAGATGAGGGACAAAGGAAAAGGGGAGGAAACTTCTCCCCTCCCACCTTCACCTTTAGCTTCTTGAAAATGGGCCCCTGCAGAATAAATCTGCCAGTTTTTATAAAAAAAATAAAAAAAGAAAGAAAAATACAATTACTAAGTAATTTACTTTCTACACCGTCTGAATCCTGTTAGTATAGCTGATGAGTATATACTGTAGGGCCTTCCATCTGATGGGGATTGCAATGCTAACAGGGATGAACAAACTGTTCCAGTTAAGCCTACACATCAGGCTTTACCAAGTGGTCTCCTGACTCAGATTCTTACTGTAGGCTTTCCTCTGGGCTTTACGGCACTCCATCTTACTTACAATCCTTTCCCGACCCTGCATTTTTCCATGTGTGTCATCTCTACAATCCTTTTAATACCTCAGCCTGGTGACCACCTCTCTATATCCACTTCACTTTTTTCTTCTTTTATGGTCAATCTTTGTTGAGGCCTATTTTTGGAATATTAGCAAAAAAAAGTGGTTCCTTACCAAGTTATGGGGATGGAGAGCTAAGTCTTCCAATACTCCTGGCCAATAAGGATAAAAATTTTTGTTCTTTTTTTTGTAATTTTGGTATGCAAAACAAAACAAAACAGTTCAGATACTTCACTAAAATGGGAGAATAGCTGGACCCAGACTCAAAGGCCTGTTCCTTTATAATCTAGCGTGGAAGAGAGAGGGACGATATATTAGTTAACTAAGCAAAATTGCCATGTTTTGTAAGTTCTGAGAAAGATACAACTTGGGTGCTCTGAAAGTGAACTTTTATATAGAGACTTCAGAGTAGGCCTTTCTAGGGAGATACTTAAGCAGAAAGGTGAAAATAAATAAGCATAGGAGGGGGTGCAACCTGGCAAGGCATTTGTCCAGCTAGTGCCTGAAAGCATATTTAGAGAAAGCAACTGACTTGTAAAATGTTTATAAAATGGTGAAAGCACAGCACTGCCAGGTGGTAGGCTATCCTTTGCAAAAGTTAGATGAATTTCTCAAAAAACTTTATTGTGGTAAGAACACAACAAGACATCTGCCCTCTTAATAAAATTTTAAGTGTACAAAACATTATCATTAACTATGGGAACAATGTACAGCAGATCTCTAGAGCTTATTCATCTTGCTTGAAACTTTATGCCCACTGATTACTAACTCCCCACCCCAGGTAAGCCACCATTCCACTCTTTGATTCTATGAATTTGACTATTTTAGATACTTAATATAAGTTAAATTATGTAGTATTTGTATTTCTGTGAAGTCCTCAAGATTCATCCATTTTGTTGCATATTGCAGAATTTTCTTCTTTTTTAAGACTGAGTAGTATTCCTATTTCTCCAAGACTAGAGCTCAGCACATGTCCAGACATAGCTGAAATGGGCCATCTTCCCCCTTTGCCATGAGCTTTGATTTGCCAGTATATGGCACAGTACCTTAACTTAGCAGACATTTAAATGTTTGTTGATATTAAAGATAATTGTCTTAAGCCAGAAGACCTGGAAGCTAGCCATCCATTTCTGTTCTTTGGCAAGAATAGCTGACTACCAGAGATCACACAGTATTTTTCCAGTTAGTGTTGCTACTTGGCAAATTCTGGAATAAAACAAATGTTACCTATTTTTCAAGTGGAAAGGGGTTATTTTAACACATCACACGTTTGGTGTCATTTTAGCCAGCAGATGTCCCTATTGTTCAGCAGGATTTTTTGTTCATTCCCAAGTAGTAACTTCAACAGTAGATAGAAATTTTGGGGCCTCAAGGGCAAGCCTGAACAGTAATAAAGCTAAAGGGATAAGGATTATACTTTGAAATCAAAATATGAGAACTCTCTCTAGCATTAAAAGTCTTGTAGATTAATCCCCTTCCTCTTCTATTCACTGTATATTAATTCCTTTACATAAAATATGCAGTGAAAGAGAAAGAAGGAACTCCTATAATGTTTATAACTTTCAGGAATTTGTACATTGGTAATACACTCATTCATTTCATTCAGCAGATCTTCCTGAGCACCTGTTTTGGGCTGAGCACTATTTTAGGCACATGAAATATGGAGAACAAGATAGACAAGATCCCTGCTCTCAAGGAGCACATATTCTAACGAAGGAGCTTAATTGTAGTAGTATAGTGTATCTGTGTGCCAAACAGTTTTGGGTAAATTACTCAGTAAATTACTGGCAAATGCCTATAAAACTTGCTCATAATTAACAACTTAATGAGGGATGAAGGCAAAATATGAATCAAATTGTGATAGCAGCAGGAGACAGACAAATTCCTAGGCAGATGAGACAGGTCCTGGTGAAACCTGACCTTCAAGCCGAAGACAACCTGAAGCCTTAAAACCAGGCCGCCAGTTCCAAGTAGAATCCAGTACCCAGAGAACTTCCTTGAAACCTTTCAACAGATCAAATGATGCTTTTTCCAGGCCCACCGATGGACCAATCAGCACATACTTCCTCCCGCCCATGGACCAGTTAACACACACAGGCTCCATTCTTAGCCCATAAAATCCCTGTACTCATCCACAAGTCAGACTACCTCCCTGCAGATAGGAGCTACCCACTTTGGGTCTCCTCTTGCTGAGAGCTCTTCTGTTACTCAATGAAACTATTCTCTACCTTGCTCACCCTCTGATTATCCACGTAACCTCATGTTTCCTGGACACAGGATAAGAATTCAGGACCTCTTGAATGGAGTGCATGAAAATGGATGTAACACTTTCCTGGCTGGCTCACTGAGCAGTAGATGATGACATGCTCCCATTTGCTAGACTGTGGGGTAGTGAGGAGTAGTGACCCTTTTGGGGGCCCAGACCTTGGGATTCCCTGAGCTAGAATTATAATATAGCCCTCCCGCCCTCTGCCAGTGTTGGGCAACTGCCCCATGTGACAGGAAGTGGTGGTAGGGCTGAGCCATCTGGGAGTGATGGGCTAGAGTGAGGTAGTGGGACTGAATGAGCTGAAATAGGTACCCACCCTGGTTCACTGAGCTGCAGGCAGTGGGAAAGAGCTGTAGCATGACTCCCACCCCCTACCCTTGAGGGCTCTGCAGTTGCTGGTGACTCCCAAGTTTTTGAGTGTCACCATGTTCCCTTCATCCAGACACCAGTGCCCACAGTGGAATGTCACCATGTTCCCTTCATCCAGACACCAGTGCCCACAGTGGAAGCTACTTGCAGTATGCCTGGTCCAGCTGCAGCCTGTATGAAGCAGGTGCCTGTGCTGGTGCCTGGAGTTGCCTGCCCTGCTGTAGCAGCCAGTGTGCCTATCTGTGTGCAGTGGCCAGACTCCGCACTTGCCTGTTTACATACCCCTAACTTCTTCACACCTGGCCTGCCCTTGGCAGGCATGTGATCCAGGCTGGTAGTGTGAGCCAAGGGCAGACTGCCAGGCCTAGTGGGTGGAATGGGCCCAGAGGGTGTGAGTGAAACTTAAGCAGAGGTGCTGCCAGCCACAGAGGTTTCTGGCTGGCAGAGTGACCCCCAAAGGATCCTGTGACAAAATTACTTGGTATCAGATTAAGCTAAATTACAAATGTTAGGAAAGATGGGTCAATGTGTTTCTTCTTGGAAATTTCTGTTTTCATGGTTTTAGGCAAAGTGTTTTATGCACAAGAGAAGCACATATGTCCCCTTGTGTGAAAAGTCCCCTTTGGCTGGTGTTCTCTGAATCCCTTTAACAGACATACAACATATGTATATAAACATGGGCAATGTAGAGCTCTTTCTTGACCTGATATTGTTAAGAGTTAGAATCTGGAGCAACAGAAAACACTGTTTGCCAAGCATGTTAAACTAAAATTACCTGAAATATCAACCCAGTCTTTTAATATCTAATTTAAGAATTACATTGTAGTAAGTTGTAGTAAATATAACTATACCAAATTAAATTTCATAGCATAATACTTTTGTTATAATGACTGCATCTTAAGTGGGCAGACCTGGTGAAGTCATATAATATATAATTTGTAATTTAATAAAATTGGGGCTAATAAAATATAGAAAGGAGTGTTTCTATGGGCTTAGACTTGAGAATAACATTATTATATATAATCATATTTTGTAATTTCAGCAGTATATCTATTTTAGCAAACCTAGGATAAGGAAGATATGTGACTTCAGCAGTCACCGTATCTCTAATGTCTTTTTTTCTGTGTCTATTTACATTTCTTAACCAGAAATTTACATTTATGTAGAACTTTTGGCCTGTGTTAATTCAATCTGGTGTAGGAAGTCAAGGCTATCAGCCATTTTCTGAAATAAGGTGAAACTCCTTTCTCTATTGGATAAGCTCTCTTTTTGTTGAACAGAAGTCCATTTTCATCTGATGCTGCAATCTTTTTTCCTATTCTTTTGGCAAGAACTGTCTGCCATGGAATCATTCTCTGAGAACACTCTTGATCTTGAACCTGTAATAAATTTTCACAACTATCTCCTCTGAGAAGGAATCCATGGTACTTTACCATTGTAGACCAGTTGATGGAGAAATATGTGATACAACAATGTCTCATACATAATGTTATAAATAACTATGTCATTTGAAAAGGCCATAGTGAATATAGCAATATATAAGAAATCTGTCTCCTGCAATGCGTAAAAGTGAAAACAAATCTGAAGCCTTTTACTTTTAAGGTTTTCCTATCTGTGTTTACTACAACAATATTTTTGATAAAGTAATAAGTCAAATGAAGGATTTTGGATTTCTGTAGGGTAAATGGCTTACAACTGATGGTAACATGCAACAGGTGACAAGGGTTTTCCTACCATTCTCATATTCACTTGGTGTTAAAATCTGATATTCTTAATTTATTTATCTATTTGAAATTTTAAATAGCAAAATGGTTGATTCTTTTTCTTGTTATTGTTTAAACAAGTAAAAGATAAAATTCAATTCCAATGAAATCTTAGAAGTCATGGATCATACACTATAGGTTTTGCAAGAAATGTATCTGTTTTTCACTCTGTAACAAGCTTTCAGAGTGCTTCTCACAACCTGATGGCTATTCCTTTTAATTCTTTCTGAACAAATGACCTTTACACAGACTTTTTGGGATAAACTCCCTTAATAGCCTGCCTCCATCCCCATGCGTTAATCTGTGCTCATTCTAAATTCTTTCCTTCCATCCCTAGAGATGGTCCTTCTCTTATTCAAGGCTAATTCTTCCTTTTGTTCTTTTCATGTCATCTCTCCACAGAACTATGCTTACTTCCTTTTATATGTTTTCAAACTCTGTAGTCTGATTTCAGTTCATAACATGCCATGAATATTATTAGTGACCTCCACATTGCTAAATCCAATTTTCTATGATCATTTTACTTAATTTGTCAGCAATATTTTCTCCTGAAATAACTACCTCTTCCTTCTTTGAATATGCATTTTCTAGACTTTCTGATACAGTACACTCGAATTCCTCCTACCTCTTTAAACATTTTTTTGCTGGCCTGATTTTTAAATTTTACAGTCCCTTAAGGTGACTCCCTAAGCCTATACCTCTTTCTTATTGTATCCTCCCCTAAGTAATGTCATCCACTCCAATGGCTTTAATTGCCCTCTATACACTGATGACCCCTAAATTTATAACTCTGCTAATCTACTACTCAAATGCCCTGTTCTTTATGGGACTTCCCTCTAAAGCTTGCGATGTAGCAGGTCGTATTTTTTCAAAGATGGCTACAGCAGTGTCTCCCATCCAACAAGCTTTTTTTTTTTTTTGAGACAGAGTTTTGCTCTTGTTACCCAGGCTGGAGTAACCTAGGCAATGGCGCGATCTCGGCTCACCGCAGCCTCCGCCTCCTGGGTTCAGGCAATTCTCCTGCCTCAGCCTCCTGAGTAGCTGGGATTACAGGCACGCACCACCATGCCCAGCTAATTTTTTGTATTTTTAGTAGAGACGGGGTTTCACCATGTTGACCAGGATGGTCTCGATCTCTTGACCTTGTGATCCACCCGCCTCGGCCTCCCAAAGTGCTGGGATTACAGGCATGAGCCACCATGCCCGGCCAAGCTTTTTATATAATGTGACTTTGACACTCCTCCCAGTGAGAGGTGGTGGTATATGACTACTTCTTCTTGAAACTAGACAGTTTTTTGTGGCAATTTTAACCGATTTAATATGCAGGAAGTAGTGCTATGTGACTTCTGAAAATAGGTCATAAAAGACCTATCAGCCACCATATAAAGCGTCCAGCTGCTATATTAGGAGGAAGCCCAAACCAGCCCATGCAGAAAAACCACAGAGAGGCCTGAGACTATGAAAAGAGGTGAATGATTGGAGAGTACTTATCTGCTCCAGCTTCTCCTCTGTGTTAACTACGTGTTTCCCTATAGTAATATCAAATTGCCACAAAATGTAGTGGCTTACCACAGAAAGAGTTTATTAACCTCAATTTTTTTGGATCAGGAATTCAGGAGTGGTGTGACTGATTTGCTTAGGGACTTTTATGACGTTATAATCAAGATGTCAGCTGAGGCTGCAGTCATCTGAAGGTTTGACTGAGACAAGAAGATCCAGTTCTAAAATAGTTCATTCACACAGCTATTGACAAGAGGCATCATCCCTAGCAACTGCCCGAAGGCCTTAATTCCTCACCACATGGGCCTTTCTATAGGGCTGCTTGAGTCCTCACAACATGGCAGCTGGCTTTCCTGAGAAAGCAGGTGATCCAAGACTGAGAACAAAGAGGAAGCTGCAATGCCTTTTGTGGTTTCAGGAGTTCATATTGTCACTTCTGCTTTATTCTGTTCATTAGAAGTGAGTCACTTGCCAGGCACGTGCCTCATGCCTGTAGTCCCAGCACTTTGGGAGGCCAAGGTGGTGAGATCATTTGAGGTCAGGAGTTGGAGACCAGCCTGGCCAACATAGCAAAACCCCATCTCTACTAAAAATAAAACGTTAGCTGGGTGTGGTGGCAGGTGCCTGTAATCTCAGCTACTTGGGAGACTGATGCAGGAGAATCATTTGAACCCAGGAGGCAGAGGTTACAGTGAGCTGAGATGGCACCATTTCACTCCAGCCTGGGCAACAAAGTGAGACTCTGTCTCAAAGAAAAAAAAGAAAATGAAGTGAGTCATTAAGGCCAGCTGACACCCAAGAGAACAGAGACTAGACTCCACCTTGCAAAGGCATTTGTGGACACACTCCATCCACTATTACGGATCCAGCCATCATCTCACTGCAAAAGCATGAGACACCCATACGTTTATCTCAGCCTTTCCCAAGATCCTGGTCCGTAGAAACTATGAACAATAATAAAATGATCGTTGTTTTCTTAAGCCACTATGTTTCAAGATAGTTTTTTCCTAGCACTAGCTAACCAGAACATAAAATCTTCTTGACTAAACTCTGAAAAACCAGAAAGTAATTCCTTCTTCCCTGAGATTCCTCCAAATATATGGTTTCTATTATTTTCTCTCTGTCTCAAAAGCCCTAGGATTTTGACTCCAAGAAGGGAGTATCATATGGGGGGCTTTTCTCAGGTATCTACTGGTACTTGTTAGTTTGTCAAAAGTTTGACTTTGTTTTGTTTGGAAAAACTGCCTTTTTGTCATCAGCAGTCTCCCTGTGCTCTGATTCATGATATAAACTCTGATCTAGGTAATCTATGCCCTTCTTTTAGTTTTCAAGTGAAACGTTTAGACTTTCCAAGTCCATTTTTCTCCTTAATTCCTGGCTCTTAAAGATCAAAAGCTCTGGATTTCAATATTATTGGCTCATATAAATTTATGAAAATCTATTAAACATTTAATTTATTTGTTCTAGTTTGTATATATGTTCTCTCTCAGTAACATATATGTGTTGAGAAAGTGGTTGAGAAATGTGGTTGAGAAAGTATCAAAGCTGCCTTTATAGTGAGAGAAACATAATAGACACAAAAACATGCAGGAAGGAGTAGCAACCAATTAATACCTCAAAGATATTAATAGCTCTTTTTATTTCTATTAATAGATATTAATAGAAATATTTCACACATGGCATTTATATTAAATGGTATTTGGTTTTGTATAGTTAAAAGTTTGTACAACATATGCATCTGTGTCATAATTCATTATCTCTTTTTCTTTACAACAGATTTTGGGATTTGGGAGAAACAGAATAAATAACCAGGACTAGAGTTCCAGTTTACAACACTGCAACATAGGAAAAGGAGATTGGCAGAAACATGTACTCGGAAATAACCATTATTCTTGGGAGACAAGCAGCAGAGCTGAGGATATTTCAAAGACTATAGAGATGCTCCTGAGTCTCAAAAGGGCTGGAAATAGAACATCTACCTGAGTCCTTTCCAGTGATAGAGACAAGATCAGAAGTGGTTATAGGGCACAATTCTGAGATGTTGAGCCTGCTCACAAGAGATGAAAGGATTAAAAAGATGAGGATTTTGTAAATATTACATGTTAGAAGCTGAATTTGTTGCTTATTACTTTCAGCATATTTTGGTATATAATGGACACAAGCACTTGCAAGCCATAGGGTGTGCAGAAAAGGAATGTGTTTGTCAATAATATAAAATAAATAGTAATGGAATAAATAAAGTAAAATAGTCATGGAAATTACCTGAATTCTATATGTCAGTAATTAGTAACATAGACATTACCTGAGTATCTGGGCAGAAAACTGAAGTTCTCAAATAGGACACAGTGATATTCTGCAGAGGCTAGTTGACCACATATTTTCAACTTCTATTCTTCCGCAGCTTATATAGGAAGGAGTGGACTAATGATCAACAACTTCTTCTAAGAGGGCTACCTGTGTTATATCTGGTTAACATCTGAAAGTTCACTTTCTGTGAATAATGAAACATCAAAGCTTACCTAAGTTTTCCTGATGACTGTTAGTGTTTATTTCTTTCTGACTAAACTTTCTCCATGAGAGTTTCTAATGGTAATGAGGCCTATTCAGCAATGAATTATTTTGTAATCAGGCATGTCTCAATCTGTCAGAAATGCACAGTTATCCATCTGTTGTGTAGCTTGCACTAACATTATAAACTATAGTCCATTTGGCCTCTTTTTAGAAGACTTGGAATTGGCCAGTTCATCCTGTTTCCTTTACTGATATCTTAGTGTCAATACACTAAATGTGGCTGAGAAGAAATTTAGGTGATATTCTTAAAATCTGTGATAGTTACATTTAGCCTACATTTCAGTTAGGAAAGTGATTCATACTTCATGTCTATTTCCAGTAGCTAAAACTAACACTATGTTAAGTCTAACTAAAGTGATCTCAAATTGCTAACTTTATGGTTGCTATATGTAGTATGATTAGGAACTCTACACTGATTATTTTTAAAGAAACCGTGTTTTTTTAATGTATGCTTAATTCTGCATTTAGCACACTTGTTTGTTTAAATGTTCTAGATTTTAAAAGAAACTGAAATTTCACAGATGTCAGCTAGGCCTTCTATCTATTTCTTGAAATCAATGTGAGATTTTCTTTTTTTTTTTTTCTTTTTCTTTTCTTTTTTTTTGGACAGAGTCTCACTCTGTTACCAAATTGGAATGCAGTGGCATGATCTTGGCTCACTGCAATCTCTGCCTTCTGGATTCAAGCAATTCTCCTGCCTCTGCCTCCCAAGTATGTGGGACTACAGGCATGTACCACCACGACCAGCTAATTTTTGTATTTTTTAGTAGAGACGGGATTTCAACATATGCGCCAGGGTGGTTTCAATCTCTTGACCTCATGATCTGCCCTCCTTGGCCTCCCAAAGTGCTGGGATTACAGGCATGAGCCACCACGCCTGGTAGTAAGTTTTTCTTAATGTCCAATTTCAAAGTT